GTAAATTATTAACAAAGTAAAACCACAGAAGGTTTATGCACTGTTACCTCTTGCGCATGTGCGAACACAGCAGCAGGAAGGCCTGCTATTTAAAATTTCTTGTGTTTCCAGGATCTAGAAACGTCTAACATAGTCTTTTTAATTGCTTTGGTATTTATGATTGTAAGAGTGTAAATTTATTATCTCCCAGTGTTTGTATATTGACTTCTTACCAACTTTATGTATTCATACATGAGGCCTGATGGAAAATAAGGAATTTTCAAAGTTTAATTACTTTTTAAAATTCAAAATTACTTATAAACCCATTCATTTTAAAGAAGCAACATTTTCAGCAGCAGTAAAGCAAAGAGTTTTGGAGCTGTGATGCATTATAGAGAGAAAAAATGTAATTGTACAACATATGGTTCTGTTAGAACAGAATGCTTCTGCACTAAAAGAGCAGAGAGGTATGTTGCTTTTTCCCACAACTCTTCCTCAAGACTGAATGTAATTATTATTCCTACATATTCTTGAGTGTCTAAGTTGTAAACAAACTATGATTTAAATAGAATACTGTCGTGGTTTGACCGGAAATGGGACATCTGGGATATGTTGTTTTGCTGTGGTTACCAATGGGTAATTGGAATTTAAGATGGGCACTTAGTTTGACCAGTGGGACATTTGGATCCGCCTCTTGAGACTACGAACCCAAGGGGTTAAAAGCAGGGCTCTTGGCCTTCGGAGCCCTCTTGGGATTTCCGGCGTGAAGAAGTCTCTCCCCCGGCCCAGTTTCTGGCTGGGCTGGGGGAGGGGAAAGCCACGTGGCCCATTTACGGTAGGCCCGGGTTCGGAGGAAGGGTGGCAGACCCTTGAGCGACCTGTTTATTCCCCCCCCCAGAGAATGCAGCCCGTGCTCGAACTGTATATCTTGAAACTTGATATCATGTGCCGGCAGGCAGCACGGCTGGGAGGAGAAAGGGGGGGGGCAGCGGGCAGTCCGGCCGCCTGGGAGACCTTTTAACCCTTTGGGGAATGAAGGCTTCGCAGAACATTGCCTTTCCTGGGAAAGGGACAGGAGTGGAAGATGAAGGAAGAAAATCAGGCCAGTAAGGGAGGGTCTGGCAAAGGGAGAAGAGAGATGTTGAAGGAATGGAGGAAGATGGAGTGGCAGTTTTTGCTGGACTCTTTTTTGTTGTATTTCCATGGACTCTTTCCTGGTGATGCAGAGGCTGTATTGCAGGGGGAAGCGGAGGCTCGGCGTCAAGAGAGTTTGGTTTTGAGACCCCTCGGCCCCAGGGGGTATAGAAGACATGGGGGGGGACAGAGGTCCCAGGATTGTGACTGTACTCTGCTTGGAACGAGACGAGGCATTCTTAAAAGGCCCTGAAGGCAGGCCCCTGCCCCATCCCATGCCAGGTGGTGAGAGCACCTCGGCATGGAAAGGAGATGTCATGAGATAGCAAGATACCGGGCGGATTGCTGATTGTGACAAGAAGTCCGTGGCACAAGGAAGGACTCCGTCTATCCCTTATGAGCTGAAGATTTGATTTTTTTTTCCAAAGGGTGGTGCCAGACCGAGTGTGGATAATTTTTGGGAAATGTAAATGTGTTTGGGAATTTGGTGGGAGGAGGATAAGGAAGTGTTTCTGTGTAGTTTTCATTCTCCTTGTTTTTTTTTCCCCTGTGTGTGTGTGTAGTTTAGTAATTGTGTGTGTAGTTTAGTTAATAAACTTCTCCTTATGTTTAAGTTGGAGCCTGCTTTGCTTATTTCCTGGCCACATCTCACAGCAGATATCAGGTAAAAGGTATATTTATGGGGGCCCTGGCTTTGCCAGGCCTAAACCATAACAAATACACAGAGATTTAAATATAACATCATGTAAATATAACACAAGCTTTACTTTATAGAGCCAAAGTCTTTGCATGTAGAATAGATCCAGCAGTTTCATACAGATAATGAAGGGTGGAGGAAAAAGTTCAAAGGAAATAATTCAATTGTATGAGTTTATCTTTCACTACTGTTTTTACTTCATAAGAAAGACTGAATCTATGCAATACTACAACAACTCTGTTGAAAATAATCTTATTATTATAGACTTCTTTTGCAATTTAACAAGCATCTTTTGACTTTTTAAAATTTTCTATAACATCTTTACCTTGTTTTTTTTTTTTTATAAATACTTTAAAAAGGAAATAAGGTTTCTAAATATATTTCAAAGATGAAATTTTTCAAAGATGAAACATTAACATACATATTTCTTCAAGAAGTGTTAGCAATGTAAGTGCAGAAGCCAGAGCCTTCAGGGTTTATTTTCAGTTGATGACACACCAACCCATCCTGTGATGAAGAATGCAGCTAACTCTTGTCTTGTAGAGCACCTGAGCCTAATTTAGTATTTATAATATATATCTTCAGTGATACTGGCCAGGGGATTGAACAAACTATTCAAACAAACAAATTAGCTCATCTCATCCTGTTGTTCCCAAAATATGAGATGCTGTGCTTCAGCCCAGGGAGTGCCCTGGATAAAGTTAAGTCTATCAGCTCCTACATGAAGACCAGGGCATTGCATCCCATCTCTCCCTTTCCTTCCTGGTGGGATTTGATACTGTTGGCCCCTGGCCGTGTGACATTATAGAATGGTGAGGGTGGCACACAGCTGCTGCAGGGGAGCACCAATGTGTCAATACACAGGTCATGAAACAGAATAGATTAAATGTGTACTCATAACTGCCCAAACATAACCATGGTAACATATTTGTAGTTATGAGGAGGTAGAAAAACTCAGGAAATAGGAAAAAGTCAGTGGATGAGGTAGTAAGGGAGGATTTGCAGCAGAATTTGGTGCAAGGCACAGGTATAAGGGACTAGACACTTCCTATGGCTTCAAGGAACACATATAAACCTTAGCAAGTGGAGTAGATTCTCCAAAAAATCAAGCAATTAAAAATATAAAAATTACTGTTGTTCTTTAGAAGAAGTACTTTAGATGAGAGCATGTCATTTGCGGCAAATATTCTGAAATACCTTGTGTGTCACATTGTAAAGTTCTGGCATCTTTGTGTCCCCCAGAAATATCACGATCTCCTTACTATCCAAAAGCAATAAATACCCCCTAAGTGGTGTTTAGTATTACTAGAATTGCCCAGATATAAACTAAATAAACATGAAAAAACTTCATGTATCTAGTCTGCTGCCTCAGAAAACTGGACCAAAAATGGCTCTGATAATACTCTAAGGTGTGCTTGAAAGTATATAAAGCAACATGACCTGCATCTACTGCATCTTAAGTTGTACTTTTGTAGACAAGGATATTGACAACTTCAGCACAGGAAATTAATTCCTAAATCACAGTAAAACTAATTTTTGGTACTTAAATATCTACAATAATGGATATTTTTTTGAATTCTTATAGATAAAAACTAAGAAATCTGCATGTAAAATGTATTTACCACACTACTAGCCACTGACACAATCTGTAATATGGTTGAGCTATGATATACTCCTTCATAATTTACAGTCTGATAGCTGCTCTCCTTTGCTGTATGAGAAAGGAGCATTTAATCTCTCTTAATCGGCAACTTCACTTAAAGTGAAGTGCAATTTTCCAACAGAACAAAATTCAGTCGTGCATACAATTCACATGAGGATATATAGGAATTAAGCTTGCATTTTTTTGAAGTCTGCAATTCCTAACTTCAGAAGACTTGTTTCACAATTAAAAATTCAAACATACCACAAAATACTGATGGGGGTACTGCATGTGTTGGTTTTGAATAAGCACTATGAAGTTAAAGTAAATGTACACAATTCATGAGAATTCAAAAGTGTAGGTGATTCTTAAGTTAATTTGCACGTCCACCAGGAGCAGGTTCTTACCTAGTATACAAGCACTATCCCTTTCTTCTCAAAATTTTAATCACAAAGCTTCTCCTTTTGTATGTAGCATATTTCAATAGCAGTTTAAGAACGTTATTGCACATAGGATATACTCTAAATAGCATTTACATGTGTGACTATCAATAATGTGGTCCAAACATGCATTTTGATTTGAATCTAGTATGGAATATATGTACCTGATGGAATAAAAAGAAAGAGATAATAATTATATAGATATATTAGGTTTGTAATTATAGTGATAGAAAAAATTAGCCTACATTAAACCCTCAAAGTCATCAGTTGCAGGGAGCAAGCCCTGGTCTCCAGGCCAGGATGTACAGAACAGTTTGCATCTACCTAAAATGAATTGTCTCTGTCCACATGCAAAGCACTTTGCCTTGGTCTTCTCTAAGCTCCATAGCAGACCTTGAAGACCATAAAAAATCCATTTTTTCTTAGTTTCAAGCCCTGAGAACTTGAGATAATAACTGAAGATATACAGCTGTCCATCAAAAGGGCTGCTTCTATAAAATGACCTTGAAAGGGTTTCATCCTATAGTGAGGGGTATAGGACACGCAAGCTTTCAGGGGTGACAACACCATGTCTTCTATAGGCTTCTACTAAAATTTAATCTACTGAGTTTTCCACCTTAGGCACAGCTAGTTGGTTAAATTTGGAAAGGGAAAACAGAGCTGAAGGAATAATACAGAGTAATGCAGAGCATCATCAGACTCGTGCGTCAGCTGAGGGGAGATGAAAGAGGAGCCTGCAGCTGTACCACGGGGGATGGAACTGAAAGCTCCTTACAAGCCTGTGGCTATACTCTGTGAATTCTTTCTTTTTCTCCTTGTGCAAGAATAAATGCAGTTCTTTATTTTCAGTGCTCACATTCTACACTTTTGTGCAATGTCATTCCACTATGAAGACAAGAAATATGAAGTTGCAGTGAAAAACCTGAAATATGGGATCACTGACATTTCTTCTATACAGTTTGGAAAAGTCATATGAGAACTGTCACCTGTTGGAACTCTCCTTCTCCTGGGAAAGGCATAAAGTATCTGCAGAATGCTATGCTTATCAGATAGGACAACATTTCCCATGTTGGCTGAAATGCCATGTGGTAACAGAATCTCTACTTACTGCGGTCAGTAATTATTGTCCGGGCCTCTTGATTGCTTGTCTTGTTTTTTAGATTTTGTGCTGCAGTTATGAGTTCATCCAGCTGGGGACGTCTTTGCTCCAGATCCTGTAGTATTGCCTAGTTGAACACAAATTCAAAAATAAAATAAAGAAAAAAGCACAAAGAGATTTTGAGAAGACCACATATATGGACATTTTTGGTGCAAACTTGACTTAAAGCAAAAAGATTGTTTGCTGTTTCAAATAATACAAAGAATTTGGCCTAGACCTTCTAAATGCTGTTGTTATTATTTTAAAAACACCAAGTATAATTTGCAATAAAAAATTTTTAAAGAACTGTAAAACTAAATACAAAGTAGCAATCACTCTACATTTTTAGCATGTCAAATTATGCAGAATAAGCTATTCTCCTCTATAAAACTATATAGCAGGGCACTATTTTTCTATATCATCTTATAATTTACTGTTAATTTAAAAAGAAGATATAAGGGCTTACATTCTTGCCAGATTAGGCAGGCTTTTCCTATCAGCTCATGAAGTCTAATAAATTCTGTTTATTTTTTTAATATTTCATGACTGTTTAATTGTTATCTATTGGTTAAAAGCCATTATAGGACTGTTAAAGTCACTTTTTTCTGTCTTCAGTCTTTACCTATCTGAAAAATAATTACCACTCACAATAATTTATATGCTACTCAAACCAATATATAAACCTCAGACAATCTGACTGGATAGTAAGAAGTGGATTTAAAGTTTCTCATGGGGAAAAAATGAGCTTCGTGGTATTTAGAGGGCAATAAAAAACTATAATACAATAGCTTTAGATAAAATGAAAATGAAAACTCAAGGAAAATAATGTATATAAGACTTGTGCACATATTTAATTTGTTTCAAAGGATTAGGGAAGAGCAAACAAGGAATTGGTACAATCATTTCTCAGATCAGAAGCATCCAAGTATGTCTTTAGAAGACTGACCAAATTTGGACACTTCAGCAACCTATTGTGGAGTTTCCAGAAAAGATAGTCATTAGATTTCCCTGTTTTAGGAGTTAGAAGCAGCAATAATTAATACATAACTAGAAACTATATATATTAGTTTTATTCTACATGCAACTTTTAGTCATCAGAACTGAGCAGTGTGCCATCAGACAGTCAGTAGGCACACTTTAACAGATATCAAATTGGCAACAAAGGCCAGAGAAGGATTTCTATTTTTGAGGCCAGTTACAGAGTCACTGGTTAGATAATCTGTTGGCATTCTCACCTGCCTGTTGATAAAGTGTCTGGAGTATTTTACTGTCTTAAAAGTCTCCTCTCCTTAAAATGTTTTCGTTCCAAATAATCATAGTTGACTTAAAAAAGCTGTTATTCACTGACTGTTCTGGATAGAAAAGACCTGTGAGTCTGATCTTAAATTTGACCCTCCAACTTTAGACTACAGTTGCATGATTTCCACCAAGTTGAAGGTTACAAACAAAGACCTAATACCATTTTCTGTTTAATGAGATTAACAAAAGGGCATAAGAATATAGCTTTCAGTTACTACAGCATGTACTATAAAAAGCAAACTAAAAGCTCTACAGAGTTTCATTTTGTTCAGTTACAAACTCTTTAGGGAAAAAAAAAGGTAATTTTCAAGACACACATCTAGCTACACCCTGTGAAATTCTTGCTTTTAACTTCTGTATCGGGTCTTTGAAAATCTATTATAATGGGCTTTCTAAAGTCATACCCAAAAGCTTGGATGGTATTTTTTCACTTGTATACTGATTGAATTGCAGAGACATGCAGTTAAAGCAGCAGCTTGCATAATTAAGCAAAGAAGAAATTTCTAATTAGAAGTCTCTCCTTAGTAAGAGAAACAAAATCTACTGATGCCATTACTATCTCTAGATATCTATGTGCCTTCCAAACTCCATTTTATAAGAAGACAAGTTAATGAGGGACATGAATTTCACAATAGGAAAAGCAGTCCCAGTGCAGTCGAAGAGCATCTGTATTGCACATATTGCCAAAATGGACGGTGCAGAAGAATACTAAAACACACAAAACAGGCTCAGATAATTCTCTGCCTTCCCTTTCTTTCTCCTTCCCTACCTAGAAAATGTTTAGAAGAGGAAAAGCAAATTAAATCATTCTAAGGTCCTATGCCAAGAGTGACTCTCTTCCCTAAAGTTTCCTAAATATAATTTTATACTGGACTACGCAAACAAAGTGATTTATCTGATCCAGCCTGAGTCTCCAACTGGACAGTAAATGCTGTGGTTTTACCACTACTAAAGAAAGCTGCTGTTATATGTTTCATAGAGTAAGAAATTAAGCACTAGGTAAGGACAGCTCAGAAAGGATTTGCTCAGTACCAAAATGAGGAAATGGAGCTGATCTGTGCCCAAGGGCTCACAGAAGGATTTACCCCCAAGACACATCTGCAATTCCTGAACTGGACATTCAGGAAAACTAAAAATGCCTCTTCAAAGTGAGTCTTGTTAGTTCTGCTGTTCTCTTGGGGTTATAATATCTCATCCCTGTATGAATTATGTGGACAGCCTTCCCTCTACCATTTCATGTGAATAAAATAATTTTCTTCTGGATGCACAGGAGTGTATTTTTAAAAGTTCAAGAAGGACACTCTTAAACTCTTAAACTATATACAGATCTGAAGATTCTTAGACCTTTCATAAGACAATAATACATAATCATAAAACAGATTTTTTTTTCTTACTCTTAGAAAAATCAGGATTTTTCAAATAAATATATTTTTTTCTTTGGTTTAATACAAAGTGTCTAACAACTTCACCCAAGAAATGTCCTATTTTATTCAGTAGAATTTTACCAATTACAATTAAAAATTGTTACAATGTTTATTGGCCTAGTTTTACCAGTTTGTACAATCTTAAAGATTTTTCAAATACACGTTTCACATGATACCTATAGTATATATACCAAACCCCAATGGAAACCTGGATAAAAGTAGCTACTAAAACACATCATTTCCAATTCTTCCTGTGATCCTGTAGCATGAAAATAAACCACAACACCTGAGCTCCACTTCAAGTGTTATCATATTCAGAAAAATATTCTGTGACTGGATAAACTGATCATGCAAGTTGTTTTTGTGGATTAATAAAAATACAGCTATTTATGCTAGGAAGAGCAGTGCTTTGAAGAATACAAACTAAAAGATCACTAAGTATGATTTTTGGGAAAAATTAAAATTGAATAGCTTTAAAGTATTAGCTGGATGATCTAAAACAAAATGGACAACCCCCTCCCGCCCCCCCAAAAAAACCAAAATCAGAAGAAATTAAGAGCTGGAGAGCATTTAAAAAACTTTTATGAATTCAGCCAAGTATTTAATGTTGTAAAACGATTCTCAACAGAAAACTAAGTGGAAACTATTAGAAGTTACTGCTACAACAGCCATAGGAATAAAAACTCATTAATTGAGGCACCCTGGTGGAGACACAGCAGATGCAACAGACCAGATGCCTCTGATTTGGAATGTCAGCACACGGAAACAAATGTGCTATATAAAAATGGGCAATACAGAAATGAGAGTTATAATTAAACTACTTTCAAAATAAATGAAACAGAAATCTATCCAATCCCCATTAGGTCACCAAAAGTACAAGCACAATGAATTAGGGAGTAAGTTAAACTAAAAGTTGTGAGGTTTTTAATAAACAAATTCTTTTGCATACAATTTGTCTCTCCCAACACTTTTCTAGTGCTCTGTAAAGGTACAAACAATTCATTCTACAGAACATCATAGAACACATTTCAATACAGAAATTTTCTTAATTATAAATGCAACTTCACATGAGTAGGTCAACAATTAAGGACCACCAACATGCATAGTTGTACAAACACATCTTTAAAGCCCAAAAGACCTTTTCTATTTCTTCCATATATCTATAAAGGCCAACATAATGATGCCTGGAGATAGCACAGTAATGCATGATGATGAGTAATGAGATACAGTCATGCAACCTACCTAGAGTTTGTTAGAAAGTGATGCTATTCACTTTTAACAATCTTTCCACATTTGCGGATGGCAGCTGCTCAAAAGAAAAATCCAATTTTCAGGTTCCTAACTTTTATGATTTTCTTATACAAAATGGGTGTTGAGGTATGGAACAAATTGTTCAAGTCAGCAACTGAAATATCTTGCATAAAAATTGCTAAAAAATAAACTGACAAACTGAAACAGGTGAAGAGTGACAAATTCTTGATGGGACTTCAAGGTTTGAGACCGAGAATTAAAATATTTTCTGACTTTATAAAATACATAAAATACAGCCTGCATATTTGACACTCTGGGCATTCTAGCTTCTATATATAACAGGATCTTTAAATCAATGCAGTCTTTTTTTTTTTTTCCCTTTTTTTCTTGACTTTATGGCAAATGTTATCAAAGTGTAGTTGCTGAGTTCCAGGATGGAACCAAGACTTACTCATTGACTAATTGTCTAGCAGTGCTCATTATGGGTGTCCAGTCTTTAGTCTCTGGAGAAACCTTTCCCACACCAAAGCCAGGACTTTCCATCTACCTTTGCTGAACTCAAACATATCAACAAGAATTAAGGTTGCTGCTTGCATGTTTCCAGTCAAATATAGCTTGTTATCTATTTTATACTAAGTATAGGAAGGTTAATAGTGAGTGAGCAAAAAAATTATGTTTGGGCAAACCAGCAATTTAGATTTATGCTCTTCCATGTTAAGAGCAAACTGAAAGCTTGTTACTTTTTATCAGTAACAGCCCATGGCTGAAGACTTAGACTTCACAACTGTTTGGGATGATTTGTTTTGGCCCACTCCCAACCTTGTTTAATGAAACAAACCAGTGAACCACAAGAGCACAAGTGGATGATTAATGTGAGAATGAAAGGGAAAAGGAAGATATATTCCTTATCCTGTGAAGCTATTTGCTCCTCTGAACTAACTCACCATGATATCCTCAGAAAAAGCATAATTCCATTAATTAGTTGTTAAGGAAATTATTTGCTCATGTTTTGAAAAAAACTTTAGAGTCTAAACCTTAAATTTAAACAAAAAATGCACTGATAACTTCCAAAATGTATAGTCAAGGCAACTTTTACTTAAAACCACTAAGTTTC